GGGGTGGAGACAGTGTTTCCTTGGGAGGCAGCATGGCAAAAAGGGTTTGAAGGAAGCTCCAGCAGTCAGGTCCACGTTCAGCTGTGTTTGGAGCTCCACAACCTTAGATGGTGGATTTGCTCATGGGTTCCCTAAAGTCTGAGACATGCAGGTGTGGTGGGAGACACAGGAGATGGCCACTCTGGCTTTGAGAGTGATGTCTGGGTGGCACGGAGAGCTCACACAACCTCTCCCTCCAGGGGCAGAAGGCTTCACAACACAGGAGGACCAAGAGATGCTGTCCCGCATTGAGAAGCAGCTCAAGCGCCGCTTTGCCATCGGCTCTCAGGTGTCGGAGCACAGCATCGTTCAGGACTTCATGCGGCAGGTGGGCCAGAGAACTAGTGGAGGTTTGGACTGTGAAACCAGGGAGCCCAGGCTGCCAGTTCGGGGGTGAAACCCATTCCCCAAGAGGTGGCTGGAGAGCCTTTTGGTCATACCTACTTTTGAAATTGTTTGTAGGGAGTGATTTGCAGTGTGATTGCAAAGTTTAAGGGGAGGGAGACGGGAACTCAATTTTCTGTAAAAGCACTGAGATTTGGGGCTGTTCGGGTGGGTTGGGGTCCTACTCTTGAAACCAGAACCGTTTGATTTGTGAGACTGGCTGCACTAAGACCTGAAATAGTGAAAGGAGAAAGGAATGTTGGTACCTGGTGCCACTGGGCTCCCCCTCTCTAGAGAGGCAGAGCCAGGCTTTAGCGGAGGTTGCAGGTTCCTGCTGGGCTCTGGTGAGCTTTTCCCTGCAGGCTCATCTCCCTCTGCTCTCCCCTTTTCCAGAAATACCCAGAACATGCCATCTACAAGGTGCTGCAGCTGATGATGCGGCGGGGGGAGATCCAGCACCGCATGCAACGCAAAGTCCTCTACCGCATCAAGTGACGTCCCTGTCCCACGAGTGCCCGTGGGGTCAGAGCCTGCTCCTGGCAGAAGCTTTTTCCTGGGGAGCCGACCATCCCAGGCCCTCCCTCTTGAACCAGGGTTTGGAGTGGTCAGGGTTCCCCATAGTGCTCTGTCACGTCGATGTTTCTTTGAACTCCAAAAAACTTTTAGTTTGTATTAAAATAAAAACTGATAGTGGTAACCTAGGGTCTTGGGCTGAATGGAGATCCTTCAGAGATGGTGCAGGCTTTTGGTTGGAAAAGCATCCTTCCTCCTCACCCTGTGTTACCCAGCGCCTGCCCTGGGCAGTCGCCTTGAGGCAGGGGACAGCCTCATTGGCAGCACCAGCAGCCCTAAAGACAGAAACTCACTTCTTGCTCAGGGTTTGAGCTGTCTATTAAGGCACAAATCCTGTTGGTGCAGGAGGTACCTTACCCCATCACTGCATGCAGGCTGCTGCCATCTTCCCCCGCTGCCAGCAGCAGTGAAGGAAACAACCTGCTCTTCCCTGCTTCAAAGCTGCTCTTTGCTCATCCCTCCTTCCCCTCTCCAAGGGCTGCAGCAGGCAAACGCTTTGCCCTGCAGTGTAACGGGCTGTGTGAAATCCTTCCTGGAGGCGTGGGCAGAGTCCCCTGCTTGCCCCAGTGAGGATGAGGATGCAGGGTGATGCCCAAGAGCTGTATGTCCTCCTCCAAGTAGCCTTTGCCACCTCCTAGATGTGCTGATTGCTGTAGGGAGGGATGTCCCCCTCCCCAGGAGCCTGTCCTGGGTTCTCTGCCCCAGGGTGGACTTGTGCAGCCACTCGCCCTCCTGCATTTGCTGTGTGACCTTGCATGTGTCAAACTCTGCAGGTTTTTATCATTTCTAGCAAAGTAGTACTAGCTGGCTGAAGTGTCCTCCTGAAGACGTAAGGTGCGGGTAGGTCCCTGCACTTGGCAGCTTGCGACCGGCTTGGAAGTGTGAGGGGGCTGGTGTGAGGCTCTGAAAACTGCAGCGTGGGGCATTGCAGGCGAATGAAGGTGCTGCTGGTGCTGGAGAGGCTGCTGCTGTGTCTGCGAGTGACCTTCAGGCTGAAAAACACACCCCAGGCAAGGCTTCGTTAGCAAAAAAAATGTTCAGGGCCAGTAGAGGGTACCAGAGCCTTGAGGATGCTGGGCTGCGGTGCTGCACACAGTGCTGCCTCCTCCGAGATGGAAAACCAAGGGGTCCCTCTGGGCTGGGGCGGTCACGCAAGGGCTGGACTCTGCTGCAACCCTTGGTGGGTTCAACAGCATCTCTTTTTGCTCCTGTGTGGGTGTTTTGAGAGCCCCTGATGGGGCTGGAGGTGGTTAT